GCTCGAAGGCTGGAAGTGCCTGTGGCTTGTGCTGGTTGAGCCTCCGTGGCTGGGCAGAGGACAAGCCAGCATGGGGGCATTTTGACTTCCAGAGCCAGTCTGCCAGCCGGCAGTCTTGGTGTGTTGACACAGCCGTGGGGCCAGCGTGCTTCCCGGCTGCATTTGAAACAGTCACCTGGCAGAGCTGACTTAGCCATACCCCAGTGTGAGGGAGCATTGCAGACCTCTCTCTCTCTCTCTCTTTTTAAACAGGAATGCCAACATCCTCAGAGGAGCAGCCAAGCTCTGGAGCATAGTTTTTGCTGTAGCTGAGCCTGTCGGGAAGGCTTTCTCTTATTTTTTAAGAACTCCTGTATGGTGACTCAGGGAGCGTCCTCAGCCGGTCAGTTAAGCTAGCAGTGAGACCATGTTTGCATCTGTAGGACTATAAATGTATTTTTGGACGAGTTAGAGGACTTGATCATCTATGAGATGACTATTAACTTTTATTTGTAGGACTTTAGGTTTCATCCCTGTTAAGTTGGAGCCTTAAAAGTCATAAACATAGTCCATTAAAGCTAGAGCATAACAGTTTCTTGTATAATTTAGTATATAAGAAGTCCATAGCTTATAAAAGCCCAAGGATATATTATATTACCATTTTCAGAAAATAAGACCAAGCATATTTTGATAGTGAAGATAGAGCACAATGACCAAGTTTTAACATAAACAAATAAATGCCTCTAAAATTAATAGATACTTACTAACCCCTGAGATTTAGAATAATCAACATAGTAGAACAGTATAGAAGAATTTTTTTAATTACATTTGAATTTATTATACCAAACCTATTGACCAGAAAACCTAGTGATTCCTGATCACAGGCAGCTCATGGTGGGAGAAACAGCATTTATTTATTAATTTAGGAATTGATAAAGACATAGGCAGTTAGACAAACATTTTAAATTAGCTTAATTTGAATAGACCTTTATAATCTTGAAATTTTAAAATGTAAAAATTATACTGAGTTGAATCATATATATTGTAAAATATAACTTTGAAATTTTATAAAAATCATTTTAAATACCAATTTAAAATGAGATTTGTTGCTGTCTTAGTCTGAAAGGAGATAAAATAAACAGAGAATTAATAATGATTAAAATTGTTCATACCATGTGGTCAACTTAAGGTTTACAGTTTAATCTGAAGATTTTTTTTTTTTTTTTTGAGAGTGTAACAATAAACCACAGAGTATTTTATTTAGTGGGATAGCAGGCAGAGAGAAACAGGCAGGACTTTGAGAAAAGAGAGCTTGGGAATTGTGTTTTACTTCACAGATCGCTCTTACTGTTACTGGATATTACTGGATATTAGACATTTGAGTAGGGCAAACATAGGTATAGAAGCCAGAGGGTTCCCAAAGGGGAGAGAATATGAGGAAGCCATTTCTGCAAATGAGAAAGGAAAATGGAAGTGGACCATGTGGCTAGGGTTCATCATCCAAAAAGCATGGCAGGTCAGGGGCTTAGCCTGGCTAGAACCTCTGTGCCTGGTGCCAGGGCTTTATCACAGTAAGGCTGGGAGGGAATCTTATCCACTGGAAAGGCTAGGGGCAGATAGGCAGTTTTAGAGTGGAGGCAGGAAGGAATGCAGCGGCCTTGTAGGGCCTACAAGAGACTGCAGTTTTGCAGCTCTGAAAGCAGTGTAAATGCAGCTGGCGGGGGTTGGGAGGGACCACAATCATGTGACTGGCCTTGATTGCCCGAGTTGAGATGCCACTATGTGCTTGCTGTTAGTCGAGATGGCAGTGAGGCCGTGGTTCCACCCTCTTTATCCCAAAATCAACATGGCAGCTAGCCACAAGTCATGTGCGGCCACAGCAGCACGGCAAATCGGAGGCTGCAGGATCCGATTGGACTGGCTGTGTAGTCGAGAGTGACCTCACCTTGCAGTTCTGATCTCCTTGATACACCTCTGCATTTTCAGGTGTGGCAGCCACCACATTAAGGCTTCCCATTTTCTTTCTTCTTTTAAAATCTATTTTCTTTTTGTTGCTGCTGATCTTTTTAAAAATTTTATTTAGTGGGGGCATTACATTTTTATTGTGTGTGTGTGTGTGTGTGTGCGCGCGCGCGCCCCCACATGTGTGTGCGCAGGAACGTGTCTGCAAGGACAGTTTATGGTGATTATTAATTCTCTCTTTCAACCATGTGGCTGGGTGATTGAACTCGAACCTCAAACTGAGTTTTATGGGACGCTGAGGACTGAATCCAGGTCTTCCTGAATGCATGACAAGCACTCTACCAACTGAGCTACAACCCCAGCAAACTTGGTCTTGGCTTTATTTATTTATTTATTTATTTATTTATTTATTTATTTATTTATGTTTATTTTTTTCAAAAAAGTTACTGTGATGTAGTCTAGGCTAGCCTCAAAATCTAGCTCCTACTGCCTCAGCCTCCCGAGTGCTCACAATTACATGACTGTGCCACCACACCCTATTCTGATCCTGGTTTTATAGTTTAACAATCCTTGTGGGTGGGTTAAATGTCCTCCATGAAAGGGGGCGGTGGTGCATGCCTTTAACCTCAGCACTCAGGAGGCAGAGCAAATCTTTGAGTTTGCGGCCTGCCTGGCCTAGAGACTGAGTTCCAGGACAGCCACACACAGAAAAGCCCTGTCTGGAAAAAACAGAACCAACCAACCAACCAAATTGTCCTTCATGAACACGACAGTAGAAGGATTTCGGATATAGCTCAGTTGGTAGAGTGCTTGCTTAGCACACATGAAGTTCTGGGTTCCTCAGCATTCCGTACAAGAGCAGTGGCGGGCACGCCGGTAATCCCAGCCTTGGGGTGGTGGGTGGAGGAGGAAGGAGCAAAATTCAAGGTCATCGCTAGCTATGTAACAAGTTGGAAGGCAGCCTGGACTACGTGAGACCTTGACTAAAACATTTTAAAAAGGGAAGGGGGAAGAAAAGCAGCCCTTTGGCCCAGGGGTTGTTAGTAAATGCTCTGGGTAAGCAGCGAATGTCTGCAGGGACTGAAAATGTCGCCTCAACACGTCCCTTGGGAACGCTTGACCTTCCTTTCCCTGTACGGACTGCCCACAAGACTCAAGCCCATTGCCAGACCAGACCTAGACCTCTCCCCAAGCCAGGACCCTCCCAGACGGAGGGGTGGGTCTCAAAGAGGGCGGCTTAACGACCCTTTCCACCCCCACCCCGCCCTAACCTGCACTTTGCTGTGACTGGCTAAACCGGTTGCTGAGCTGTCCAATCAGAATCCTTCAAATAGGTAGAGGCGTGGCTCGCTTCCGACCCAGGGCGGGCCCTCTTTTGAGCGCCTGCGGTGACTCAGGAGGTGACTGGAGGGGTCGGTAGGGCCGAGCCACGTCACGTCCTATCCTGACCGTGTCCTGGCCATCGAGGCTTGTGGGACTCAAAACGGAATCCCAACACCTGGCCCCTGATGTTTTTTGGTGGTCCAGGAAAACGTGGACTTTTTGTTGCCTCCATTTGCACAGAACACTTCCGGGGTAATGCCTGTGAGCAGGAAGACCCTGGAAGTTTGGAGTCTGACCTCACGGGAAGTCAATCACAGCTGCCTCGTTCTGTGCTAATCTCTCGGTCCTCAATGTGTGGCTCCTGCTCAAGTTGTCAGACAGGTAACAACAAATAGACACAGAAGGCTAGCGAGCTGCACTTGGGAAGGAGGACCGAACTTCCTGTCATCCTCAGGAGCACAGAGACAGGACTTCATGTCTCAGTGATGACGGCATAGATGGTGAGGAGGGGCTGGGGACGAGATGGTTCAGTGGGTAAAAGCACTTTCAGGAGTCTTTGGGACCCATGTGGTGGAAGGAGAACTCCTGTGACGTGAAATCTACCACACACGTGCTTGTAATAATTTTATTTTTAAGATAAGAGGGGCTGAGAGATGGCTCAGCAGTTAAGAGTTCAGTTCCGGGCACCTACGTGAGGTTGTTCACAACCATCATTAATTCTGGTACCAGGGGCTCCAATGCTTTCTGCCCTTGGTAAACACAGGCACATGTGGACAACATACAAGACCCTTACACACACACACAAAAGTTTTAAATCTAACAAAATAAGAGGCTGGAGAGATGGCTTAGTGGGTAGGACCGATTATTGTGTAAAGTTGAGGATCTGAGTTCAGATCCCAGCACCCAGGAGTAAAAGAGGATGACTGTAACTTTGACACAGACAGCTGAGACAGACAGAAGGACTCCTGGAATTTGCAGGCCTTTAACAGCTCTGGGTTCAGCGAGAGACCCTATTTCTCAGGAATACAAGAGTGACAGGACATAATGCCTGATATCTTCGTTTTTGTTTGTTGTTGTTTTTTGGTTTGGTTTTTCAAGACACACACATCTTGGGGGGGGGGAGCAGATTTGGAGTTGTGGCTTAGTGGTAGAGTCCTTGCCTTCTGTGAATTAGGTCGTAGGTTCAATCCCAAGTCTCGCAAAAACAAAACAAAAAACCAAGCAAGCAGAAATGGAGGCTAAACGAAGCATCAGCAAACAGCAAAGGCAACAAGGGGGCAGGAAAATTTGTGCCAGGTGTAGTGGCTCATACCTTTAACCACAGCCCTCAGAAGGCAGGGAAAGGTGGAGCTCTGAATTTGAGGCTAGCCTGATCTACTGAGTGAGTTCTGGGACAGCCAGGGCCACACAGGAAAAACTTGTCTTGAAAACCTAACAACACACACACAGAATGAACCTAGAAAATCATAGGTGGGGAAAGGGAGGAAGGTGGTGGGGCCTCTTTAGAAGCCCAGGCTGCCTTAAACTCCTAATCCACCTGTTTCAGCATGTAAATGCTGGGATTATATATTTCTGTCACCACCAATCCAGGCAGGGTCCTGGGCCCAGGTCTTTTTTGTAGCCCAGGCTCATCTTGAATGGTTATATAGTTGAGGATGTTCCTCCTGCCTGTGAATGCTTTAAAGAGTTATTATCACAAGTGTGTATTACCAGAGTAAAAGTTGCTTTTGGTTTTTGTCATTTTATTTTCTGAGCTTGTTCAGTCAGGTTCTCTCACAGTGCAGCTATGGCTGGTCTGGAACTCACAGCATTCTTCCTTCCTCAGCCCCCTCTCTCCCAGTACAGGGACCACAGACATGCACCAGCACAGCACGCTGGACTTCCTTTCTTTTCCTGGATCTAGATTTGTGGGTGTGGAATAGAATGGAGAAGAGGACCAGAAGCTCCTCTAGGGGCCTGAGACTTGCCATGGTGATTCAGCATTTCCGGGCTATGATGTAGAGAATGTGGAGAACTGGATGACGCTCCTGGACCACAGCCTTTCACTTCTATGCTGGTTTTCTCCAGAAAGTCCTTCTTGGAGTCTTTCCAGCTGCTATGGTACAGGTTCTCAGACAATGACCTCAGTTAAAAGACCAGGAGATAATGCTTTATTGACTTGGCACCTATGAATAGTGGCTCCAGGTTTCTTTGCTACTGCAAAGTGGAGGCTCTGTGCCCAGGGACATTGGAAACCAGAGATGCCACAGGAAGGGCTCCTCCTGTCCCTGCTTTGACCCCTGCAGCCCCCTTGTTCAGCTGAGCACCATCTGAGTCCAGGTCGTCACCCAGCAGGGAGGGTGATAGCCTAGGACCTTCTGCAGTCCCCTGCCACTCTATAGAAAAAGAATACCCCTTCTGCCTCCCTTCTTTTGGGGGAAGATCAAGATAGGTCATTGGAGGGGTTTGAAGGCATTTACAGAGAGCCCAAGCCTCATGGATATGGGTGGAGAGAGGAAAGGTCAGGGGGTACTATGTAAGAGTTCCCCCAAAGAGAAGTGAGGCATTCTTCCACATTTTCTGTTTTGGCTGAGCAAAACATTGCTATGTTCACTGTCCTGGGCCTCCAGCAGGTGACAACAGCCTGAGGTCACGCAGTAAGAGGGGGGCAGGCACTGTAATGCAGCGTCCCCCATGCAAGGAGAGAAAGGGGCACCAGGAACTGCAGAAAATCAAGGAGGGCATCCCAGACAAGGAGGGGCAGTTCCTCATAGGAGACGATTCGATTCGGGAGCAGAGCCAGCTGAGTCACAATGGCTGGCACAGGACACTGGCATCCTCACTGTGGTCACAGTTGTGGACATCCCAGCGGATATGAGAGCACAGTAACAAGGTGCTCTCATCTCCTCGGCATTTGACATTGTCCAAGAGGATGGGGCCTTGGCCTGGACCAAAGTGGGCCTCGCCAGGGGCTTCCAGAGCCTGGCCACATCCCAGCTGACGGCACAGGACAATGGCTGCCCGTAGGTCCCAGGCATCATCGCAAACAGTGCCCCACCGCTGTCCTAGGAAAAGCTCTACACGCCCTTCACATCGGTGGGTTCCACTAACCAGGCGGAGGTGCCCTGTGTTGGAGAGAAGAACCTGGGGTCAGGGCTGGAGAGCTGGCTCAGAGGTTAAGAACACTGCCTGTGTGAGTTCAAATCCCAGCAACCACATGGTGGCTCAAACATCTATATGAGATCTGGTGCCCTCTTCTGTTGTGCAGGCACAGTAGCAGGCAGAACACTGTATAAATAATAAATCAATCAAAAACAAACAAACAAACAAAAACCCATGGGCTCATGGGACCCAAGAGATGGCTCAATGGTTGAGGACAGTTGCCACCAAGCCGGATAACTTGAGTTCTATCCCCAAGACCCATCTGGTGGAGTGAGGAGACTAATTCCCACAGGTTGTCCTCTGACCTTCACATTCATACTGTTTTTTGTTTAGAGTATGTGAACACATGCATGCACATACAACAGAAATAGACACTGACACAAATAAAGAAAAAATGCTGGACACGATGGCACATGCACGCTTTAATCCCAGCACTAGGGAGGCAGAGGCAGGTGGATCTATGTGACTTGGAGGCCAGCCTGGTCCACATAGCAAACATTAGCTCAACCAGAGCTATATGCAGTGACACAGTCTCAGCACCTTAGCCACAGGCTAGCTATTTGGAAACTGTAATCATATCTTAACCTATTCCCCAGAGTTTACTGTCTCTGCTTCCACACCTGGATTCTCTAGGATAATTTTTTACTTTTCATATTTATTTTTGTTTTTCCTTAAGGTAGAGCCTTTGTATATGGACCCAGCTGGCCTTGAATTCACTATCCTTCCAAACCAAGTCTCCAGAATGCTGGGATGAAAGCCATGGACCATCATGGCTAATTCTGTATTCTCTCATTGTTTGCTTCAACAGAATTATCATTCCTTCATTTTAATCCCAAATGGAGAAATCTCTAGGTTGTTTTAGTGTTTTGAGACCCAGGCAGGCTTCAAACCTGGCATGTAGCTATGGTTTAGACAAAGCTGGCCTTGAACTCCTGAATTTTCTTCCTTAGACTCCCAAGTGTTGGGATTACAGGGTGCTTCAATTTATACGGTACTCTGTGTTGGAGATAAAGGCTGGGGGTCAGAAAGGGCTGGCCCATGGATGACCGAACCTGACGCTCCTGCAGGCTAGACAAGCACGTTACCCACTGAGCAACAGCCTCAGCTTGCCACCCTCAGTTCTAGACTGCTCTAAAGTTCAAACCACCTCCTTCACCCTGGGTATTTTACTCCCATTGATGAGGCCTGAGACAAGTGTTGTATGACTTGATCAATAATCCAAGTTTGGCCCTTTCTCAATCCAGGTCCATCTTTTTGTTTGTTTTTGTTTTTTCGAGACAGAGTTTCTTTTTGTAACAGCTTTGGCTATCCTGAAACTCTCTTTGTAGACCAGGCATGTCAGGAACTCACAGAGATCTGCCTGCCTCTGCCTCCCTAGTGCTGGGACTACGGGCGTGCGCCACCTCGCCCAGCCCACCTTTTCCACTCAAAATTCCAACCTCATTTCCAGTGGCAATAGACACCTACCATCTCTGGGCCAAGGGCTGGGCATTCGGGTGGTCTCAGAACCAACCTGCTGGACCTGGAGTCCCAGCTCCTCTGGGCCTGGCTCAGTCAAGGGCAGGAAAAAAAAAAAAAAAAAAAAAGAGATGGCTGTCATATTGGGGAACATGCTGCTTAGAGCCAGTTCACATTTCCTACCTTACCCAGGTTGTACAGAAAGAACCTTGAAGAACTGTTCTCGTGAGCCTGGGCATCAAATAAAGGTGGAGATAGCACTTTCTGCAGCAAGCAACGAATAGAAGGAATTGACAATGTCCCGCCAGGCTTTGCAAACGCCCTTTTTTCATTGATAGTTCTGAAAAGTCAAAAGCCAGCTTTGGGAAAGTAGTCCGTTTCACCTGCTTCTCTAGTAGTAGAGAACCTTGACTCAGCAGGGAGGGAATAACCAACACAGCTCTTTACAAATCTGATATCACAACAGGAATCCTCCCTCAGCCGCGCCCTCTTCTCTCCCTGCAGAGGCCTCGCCCTTCCGGCCACGGCCCTACCGCGCAGCCGCTGAGCGCCCGAGGGTCCGGCTACCCGACTCTGCGCCACACACTCCCGCTGCAGTGCAGCAGAGATTGCCACGCCTACTCCCCAGCAGCCCCCGTCTACCCTTCACTGCGGCGCCTGCTGCGAGGCCACGCCTATTCCCCAGACCACCCCACCCACAAGGCAGTGAGTGTCTTCCCAATCTTGGAGCCGCCCTGAACGCTACGCAGGTTTCGCCCAGGCCTCCTGCAGACCCGGCCCCACTCCCGCTGTGAGTGCTTCGAGAGGCCCCGCCCACAGGGCAGCGGGGTCCCACCAACCGCGCGGCTCAGCCGCTTTGTGCTCCGCCCCCACGCGAGACCCAGCCCCTCTCCTGATTCGGCCCCGCCCACATGGCCTGTGGGCGCATGCGCAGGACCGCGCCTGCCTCGCCCCGCTGCTCCGCCCCTTCTTCATGGTGTGCCCGCCCACATACCCTTCCCTTTCGCCCGGACAGTCGCTCCTGGGACTCCACCCCTCCCGCGCCACAGCTTCACCTGCGCACAGCGCTCCCGCGTCTTCGTGATGGCCGCAGTTGTGCTGGCCCCAGCCCAGGTGGAAGCAGTCGCTGAGGCGGGCCTCGGTACCGGTGCAGCCTACGTTGTCCAGCAGCACAGGGCCTCGGCCATAACCAAAATGACCGAGGCCCGTGGCGCCGAGCGCGGGCCCGCAGCCCGCCTCGCGACAGGCCACGCGCGCGTCCGCGAAGTCCCAGTCGTCGTCGCACACGGTGCCCCAGCCCCCGGCGTACAGCACCTCCACGCGGCCGCGGCACGGGCTCGGGCCGCCCACCAGCCGCAGCCTACCGCCTGCGGGGCGCACAGGCCGGTGCCTGAGTGCTGGGCTGCGGCTGCAGGCTCCGTACTGCAGCCAGCCAGCGTCCCACCCGCGCCCACCCACGGCGGCGCCCCCGTAGGGCCACTTACTTTTCTTCCCGGAGGCCCAGGCTGCTGTGGTGACCTTCACGGTATCTCTGGAAGGCAGGGCACCGACTCCTGTAGCTGTGGAGACAAGGGAGCCTTGGAAAGACGCGAGAAGACCATATACCACACCCACGGCTCACTCTGCCTCAATCCCAGAGTCACTGCACTGTCTGCCGAGTAATAAACACATTTTGAGTTTTTACACCCCCTTCTCTACAAACTACAGGCTCGCGGTATGTAGCCTTGGCTTGCCTGGAACTCACTAGGTAAACTGAGCTGATCTCAGACCCGCAGAGCTCTGCTTCCCCAGTGCTAGGATTAAAATCTTGGGTTTTGAGACAAGCTCTTGCTGTGTAGCTTCAGTGGGCTTTGAACTCCAAAGCTGACGGCAGTTTGGTGTGACCCACCGTGGCTGGTTTAGGCGCTGCTGGGGATGAAAACACTGGACTTGCTCTTGATAGGCAAACACTCGGTCACCTGAGTTACATCCCTCAACTCCCGAATCCTAATTATAGTAATTTAATCACACCGATGGCTGCAGCTCTAATTCCAAACTTACTTCTAACCTTGATTCCTGATTTGAATTCCCTCACATGGCCTCTCGGTTCCCTACCTCAGCAGCAACCCCTAATTTAACTCGTGCTCTTTTTTGGGGGGTGGGGGGTACGTTTAAGACAGGGTTTCTCTGTATAGCCTTGGCTGTACTAGATTCGCTTTGTAGACCAGGCTGACCTCCAACTCACAGAGATCCGATTGCCTCTGCCTCCTGAGTGTTGCCATCACACCTGACTTTGATTCACAACAAGTCTCTTATCCAGCCTTGATTCTTCAGAGCTCTGGGTGTCATCCCTGCTCATCTCTTCTCACCCCGTCTCTACCATTTGTCCCTTTCCTGTGTGTCTAGAAGAGCTTTCTTAGTTCCCACCCCTACCAGTCCCAACCCAGCTAGGAGGGCAGGCTCTTTACCTCCTGGCTCAGTGTGCCACACCCAGTCTTCTTGAGTGACAGAGGGAGGCAGGGCTGTGAAAGTTGGAGGGTTCAGAACTGGAGCAGGAGAGAAGACAGAAGGGTCAGTTCCAGGGCTGGGAGCCCTGCTAGGATGTAGAGCCCTGCCCAGCTTTGACAGTACTAACTTAGGTGTGGTACACAGATGTATGTAGGTCTGTTCATGCCTTCATTTCTGTGTCCAGTGTTCTTAAAAGCTTAATGTGTACAAAGCAGAAAGATGGAGAGCTTTCCCAACTAAGGGCCTCTATACTAATTTCTAAAGGACTTACAGAAAAAGCCAGTTTTATGCTGGGATGTAGCTCAGTTGATAGAGTGCTTGCCTAGCAGGCATGAGGCCCTAGGTCCACCCTAGCATCACATAAAATGGGTGTGGCCATACAAGCCTGTAATCCCAGCACTTTGGAGGTGGAGGCAGGAGGACCAGGAGCTGCTTAAAAGAGCGACACAGAGGCTAGAGAGAGGAGGCAGTTTTACTGAGAGAATTCTACAGAGATGTTGAATGAGAGAGCATGATAGACACAGGTGAACACAGGAGCCAGAGAATGAAAAGGAGCCAGAAGAGTAGAGCAGTTTGAGGTCAAGAGAGAAGGCAGACTGAATAAGTCAGCCAAGAGAGAGTTTGAGCCAGAACAGCTGAGCTGAACCAGCTGAAACAGAGCTCAGTAAGAACAGGAAAGTGTGAGCTTATTAAGCAGTAAGTCTGAGAGGCTGAAAACGTTCTAGGCCTCGGTTAGATTCTACAGAGGCCAGAAGCTTCCAGGACTAGATCTGGGTTAGCAGAGAGAGGCAGTAAGGCTTTGAGACAACAACTGAACCTTTAAAGTTCCTTTTAAAATAGTCACCCTTTCAGTACTGAGTTCAAGGCTAGGCTAAAAGAAAGGACTGAAGAATCTTTATCCTACACCATAGATAAAATGAGGCCAGAAAAGGGGAGGGAGCATGAACTCCACTGAGCAAGATCAGTTGTGATTCTACGAGGGCTCTGGACGCCTCTTCGGATCTCAGCTGTTCCATCTGTAAGCTGGGAATGATGCCTTTGGTTTGCTAGAAATACTTTCCAGCTAAGAGAACAGAGTCCATTTGAGAAGTGGTGGTGTGGCCCTATCAGCCTTATTTGCTGGGCTGAGGGTGTACTGAGCCCAGTGACAGAGTATCTGGTTTACATACACAGGTTTTGGGTTCAATTCCTCTGCATCTAAGAGCAACAGTAACCCATCTGTTTGGCTGGGTGTGGTGGCTAGTGCCTGTAATCTAGGGAGGCCGATATAAGAGGATCATCACATATTAGAGGCCAGCCGGGCAAGAGCGAGAGCCTGCGTCAACCAGACAAAAATCACCTCTATTTTATTTTACTTTGAGGCAGGTCTCATCAAAGCCCTGTTTGGCCTTGAACTCAGAAAACAGCCGGCAAGTACCTCCTAAGAGCTGAGATTAAGGGTATGTACCACCAGGCCTAGCCCCTTCCCCACCTTGGACATGGTTTTATGTAGCCCGGGCTGGCCTCGGATAGTAGGGATACCCACAATCATTATGGCTAACGTCCTGAGTACTGGACTATAGGTATGTCAGTTTGCCCGGTTTATGCGGGGCTGGAGAGCAAACCCAGGGCTTCATGTATGCTAAGTAAGCACTCCTTCCTTCAACTCCCCTACATCCTATGCCCCAATGCCGACATCTTATTTGCTGAAAACACCTCCCAAATTGGAGAATTTGGTCCATGTGGGGAAATACTCTATTATTAGATCCTCAGGATTTCAGATAGCTGGCCTGGGTTCTGTGCTTAATTATTTTGAACGTATTCTTTGAGGGAGCAATCTGAATAGTCCATGAAGAATACTTGGAAATGGCTAGAAAATTCTGGAAGCATTCTTAGTAACAGAGGAATACTACGATGGTCTATGCAGCGTGTGTGAGGATGAGGGTTATACTGAGTTGTTTCCCCAGGGCAATAGTACAGGTAATTTCAGAGCCTTTCCTGAGAGATCTGGAAAGTACAGTTAGCCAAACGCCTTTTCCCATCCAGCCCTCAGTCAGCCTCTTCCAGTTCCTCTTCCCACCCTTCCTCCTTCGAAAGGACCCGCCCCCCGTGCCCCTGGCACCTGCACAGAGCGCCCCAGCATCCTCGTGGTGTCCACAGTTGTGCACGCCCCAGCCCAGGCTCTGGCAGGCTGCCAGGTGGGGCTCACCACCTTCGCAGTGAACGTTGTCCAGCAGGATATGCCCGGTTCCATAGCCGAAAAAGGCGTTAGTGGTGGCGGCTAACGCGGCCCCGCACCCGAGCTGGCGGCAGACCACGGCGGCGTCCGGCAGCCCCCAGTCATCATCGCACACCGTGCCCCACAGGCCGCCATGCAGAATCTCCACTCGGCCTTGACAAGGCCCGGCGCCGCCCACCAGGCGCACGCTGCCCTCGCCTGGTGGATGGAGAGGGGTGGGAAAGCAGCATCTTACAGGGCCACGAGGAGGCATTTTCATCCACTTCCTTAACGCACTGGGCCTCCCCGGGGACAGCTCCATGGGCCGTAGAACCAAAACCCCAGGAGGGCCACGCTAGTCAGCCCACCCCATTGACCAGGCCTTCTGACAGTTCAGACAATTGGATTGTGGGGCTAAAGGGGTTTAGATTGTGTCATCCTGACCCAAAACCAGCCTCCTCTTTCCTGTCCCTGCTCTACAGGCCTTCTAGAATATGCCTGTTCGTCATGCACAGCTGCCCCCCAAAACCCTCACTTTGCAAGATGTAGCTGCCTCACCTCTTCTTCCATGAAGCCCTCCCCGCCCTCCTGGTAGATGGGACCCGCCTCTAGGCTTCATCCCTCTACTGTTTCTCAAGAGGGTCCTTGTTACTACAGTGCAGACATGAGGCTCCCCCCCCCCCTCTACCAAGCTCCCACCGTGACTTACCTTTCCCATTTTGGAGGGCTGTGGGGGGTGGTATGCTGGCCAACACCTTCCTTGTTGGGGGCTGTGTGTGCAGGAATTCTGCAGAGGAAGCAGAGACGTAGAGATCTCTCTGTTCTGCACCCTCATGCACAGCATGGGAGGGTCAGGTGTCTAGAGCCCTCAGCTACCTGCTTCCAAGACCAGGTAGCTCATCTGCATATTGTCTGGTCCCATACTTGCTATGTGGCTAAGAATGACCTTGAACTTCTGATCCTCTTATCTCCCAAATGCCTGTAAGATAGGTATGTGTCACCATGCCTGTCTAAAGGCCCAGCTCATCAATTTTTTTTTTGAGTGTGTGTGTGTGAGTGGTGCTGTCTATCGCTCTTTGTATTATTTATTGGTTGGTTCTAATACGTATTTTAGACTGATTTATTTCATGTGCCTGAGTGCTTTGTGTGCATGTATGTTCATGTACCAAGTACATGCCTCATGTCTGCAGAGTTCAGAAGCACTCTGGATGGCTATGAGCTACCATGTGGGTGCTGGGAATGAAACCTGGGTCTTCTAGAAAAGCAGCAAGTACTCTTACCTGGGGAGCCATCTCTCCAGTCTCTTAAACCCAGTTCTCAAGCAGTTGACATACCTGCAGAGCTCATTACAAACACTAAATTCTCAGGCCCCACTCCAGACCTGCAGAATCAGAAACTCTAGGCGGCAACTACAGCTTGTGTTTTCATAAAGCTTGCCTGCTAGATAATGGTTCTCAGGTTTCTCTGACTTTCTTTCTGTTGCAGCTCTAAATTCAGGAGAGCTCTCGGCCAGGGCGACCCCGGTGGTCTAGTATATAAAATGTGTGTGTGTGGGGGTGTGAGTAAGCCTGCTGTGGTGGTGCAAGCCTGTAATTCCAGCATTTAGCAGGTGGAGGAAGGAGAATCAGGTGTTCCAGGCCAGGATGGCCTGTATGAGAATTCATCTAAGACAGACAGACTGACTGACAGATAGCTAGACAGACAAAATGACAGAAGGCCTGAAGAGGTGGCTCAGAGGTTAAGAGCACTGGCTGCTCTCCCAGAGGTCCTGAGTTCAATCCGCAGCAATCTGGTGCCCTCTTCTGGTGTGCAGGTGTACATGCATCCAGAACATTGGCTAACATAATACATTTATAAAAAGATAGACAAACAAATAAAAAAATGGAGGGAAGGGGACAGGCTCAGTGGTAAACCACTTGCCTAGAACCCTGCTCGTAGTCCAGGAGCTCGCCCGAGCCTGCGCCCTCCTTCACTCCCCAGGAGCTGGCCCGAGCCTGCGCCTCCTTCACTCCCCAGGAGCTGGCCCGAGCCTGCGCCCTCCTTCACGCACTCCCCAGGAGCTGGCCCGAGCCTGCGCCCCTCCTTCACTCACCGTCACAAAGCACCGCCACGTCCTCATAGTGGAAGCAGTTGTGGACGCCCCAGCCCCTGCTGCCACACTCGCTCAGAGAAGCCTCCTGCCCGCGGCACTCCACGTTGTCCAGGAAAATGGGGCCTCTGCCCTGGCCGAAGGCTAGGGGCCGGGGCACCGGCAGCGCCAGGCCGCAGCCCAGCTGACGGCATACCACGTTAGCATCCACCACGTCCCAGTCGTCGTCGCAAACGCTGCCCCAGGAGCCGCTGTGCATGACCTCCAGGCGCCCCCGGCAGCGGCTCGGGCCCCCCACCAGCCTCAGCTCTGTGAAAAGGGGCACAAGCTGGCAATGGGGAACGGGGAGTGCCAACTACAGTGCGACGTGGGCCGCGCTGGCTTGGGAGTCTCCACGATGAGGCGGGAGGCGGAACCTACCTGGAAAGGGCAGTGGAGAGGGCTGGAGGGCGCTGGCTGAAACAGACAGGGGTGGGGCGGGGGACACCGTGAGTCTCTGCCCAGCTTCCCCGTGGGTCTCACCGTAACTCCCCTCCTTTCCCGAAGGCCTCATCATTTCCTTTGGGGACCACTTTATCGACCTCCCTGTTCCAGTGGCCCATCGGCCACCGCACACTGCCCCGGACCCGTTTGTCTACTCGAGCAAACTCTCCTAAGCACTCCCTGCTGCATGCAGGGGTTTTAGCACCGGAAGCTTGTCTTGTCTCTGCAAAGCAGCGCTTTGGTGCATCTTGTTTCTTTTTAAGAATTAATTTATTTTACTTTTTTTTTTTTTTGAGACAGGGTTTCTCTGTGTAGCCCTATCTGTCCTAGAACTCACGTTATAGACCAAGCTGATCTCCAACTCAGAGATTCGCCTGCCTCTGCCTCCCGAGTTCTGGGATTACAAGGCGTGCGCCACCGCTGAAGAATTAAAATTTTAATGTAGCATTCACAGGTGTGTATGCGTGTGGATGTGAAAGGACAGCGTTCAGGAATTGAACGCAGATGGCTTGCACGCGCTTTTATCCGCCAAACCACCTCACTGGCCATTTTGGGATTGTTTTAAATTTTATTTTTATTTTGTGTTTTGCCCATATGCAGTACCGACAGAGGCCAGAAGAGGGCACTGGATCTCCTGGAACTGAAGTTACAGATGTTTGTGCGCCATTATGAGGGTGTCACAATTGAATTTCGGTCCTCTGGAAGAGCAAACATGCCAGGGCTCTTACCCAGCAAGCCATATTCTCCAGTCCCTTTTTAATGATTTCTTGATCTGGAGTCACATAGCCCGGGTATCCTGGAACTTGCTGTGTAGATGATGCTGGCCTTGAATTTTTTACTCTCCTGCTTTTACCGCATAGGTGCTGTGGTTACAGGCCTTGGCCAACATTCGTCACACTTTTCTTTCGATACATACGTTTATGTTCACACATATATGCACATGATAAATATATTTTTTGTATTATTATATATTACTGTTATATGTAATATGATATATAAAATATGTGTTTGTGTGTCTGCACCTTGACGTGTCATGTCCATGAACGGTGTGCAGGATTGCTGGTGTGTGCATGCTCACAGCACATGTTGAGCCACAGGACAACCCTGGAGAGTTGGCTCTCCCTCCACCATGTGGGTTCTGGGGATCTAACCCAGGTGCCCAGGCTGGTGACAAGCACCATCACCACTGAGCCATCTTGATTGTCCTGTTTTCCTTTTGGTTGTTGTTGGGCTTTGTTTGTTTGTTTTTCAAAATAGGGTTTCTCTTGTAGCCCTGGCTTAAGCCCCGGCTGGCTTCGATCAGCCTAGCTCTGCCTTCTGGGCACTGGTATTGCTGAAGACTTACTACATCACTGCCTGGCTTGTTTTTGTTGTTTTCAAACATGGTCTCATGTAGCCCAGGCTGACCTAGAACTTGGTATGTAGCTGAGGATGACCTTGATCTTTTGATCTTTCTGCTTCCAAGGACTGGTCTCCCGCCACAGCTGGACAGTGGGGGAAACTGAGAGCTACGAAGAAGCAGCAGGGGCTGACTTCGAACACTTACCCAGGGGGAAGAGAAGAAGGAAGGACAGTGCTGGGGGGAGGGGCAACGGTACAGCACCCCCATCCCCAGGCTTCCATCCCCTGCTCCATTCATCAGGCCGGAGGCCAATTTGCATCTCTGCTTCCTTGTGTGTCCAGCCAGCGGATGGCTTTTCAGACAGTCCCATCAATAATCTGAGAAGTCACAGCTGGAACATCTGGAACTCAAGATCCCCAATGTTTGCTTCCAGCTGCATGGGCCAGCTGCAGGGGGAAGGACATATCCACATGGGATTGACATTCCTGGTGGAGGCAAAGACAGGTGCAAAAGCTAGGAGATGAGAAAGATGAATGTGGGCCAAGACACGGCTCAGTTGAATGCTTGCCTAGAATTTGACAATGAGAGTCTGGAGGTATGGCTCAGCAGTAGAGAGGCTACCCAGAATCCCCTATTGAAGAGCTGGGAGTGTGACTCAGTGGTAAAGTCCTTGCTGAACTCACACAAGCCTGCCCTGGGCCCATTCTCAATACCACAAAAGGGGAAGAAAAAAAAGATGGAGTATACCTGAAATTAATAAGGAGTTGCATTTGGCTGTAGCTAAGGCTACACGAAGGTAAAGGACGGTTTATGGGCTCACAGGCTGATGGGTTCTAGCCATGGGAGACCCAGTAGCTCTGAGTTTATCCTTTAGGCCTTCGTAACCCATAGTGTAGTTGGTACCGAGGGTAGTTCTTAAATAGCCCAGTTAATTTTAGGGGCCTGTGAGTATATATTTAGATTTTATTTATTTACTGATTAATTTTATTATTATTTTGTTGGTTTTTGGTTCTTCGAAACAGGGTTTCTCTGTGTAGTCCTGGCTGTCCTGTAATTCACTATGTAGACCAGGCTGGCCTCGAACTCAGAGACTGCCTCTGAGTCCAAAGTGCTGGGATTAAAGGCTTGGGCCACCATCTTCCAGTAGATTTGATTTTCATTGTTTTGTCTGTGTATGTGTGTCTGTGGGTATTGGTGGGCGTGTCTGTGAGGGTAGGTTGGTATATGTATATGTCTGGGTGTCTGTGGGTGTGGACAGTGTGGGGGGAAGTGAAGGGTCGGTTACGTGTCTGTGTGAGTCTGGATGTGGCGACTGGGCTTAGACATGGGATTCAGACATGCAGAGCAAGTGCTCTACCATTCAGAAACATCCCTGCTTCTTTTTGTTAGTTATTTAGACTTGCTCCATGTAGCCCAGGCTGGCCTCCAGTTTGCTATGGAGCCAAGTGAGGTTCTCTGATTCTCTGCGTCTACCTCCTGAGTGCCCAGGAGTGTAGCACTGTACCCCATTGTATGTGGGGTTCAGATCCAGGCCTTCTGCAAGATAAGCAATCACTCTAAACAATTCAGTTAATTTCCCAACTCCCTCCCTCTCTCTCTCTCTTTTTTTTTTTTTAAAGACAGAGTTTTAGTATACAGCTCTGTCTAGAACTGGCTACAGCAACCAGGCTGGGCTTGAACTCACAGAGATCTGCCTGCCTCTGCCATCTGAGTGCAGTTACTGTTTGAAGAAATAAGGTGCAGAGAAGTGATTGGGGAAGACATTTGACATCAACCTCCGGCCTCTCATGCACTTTATTTGTGTGCAGACCTACGATAACACACACATGCACTCACACACGGTGGAGCCAGGAAAATCAAGGGTTCAGGTCAGGCTGGAGAGATGGCGCAACAGTTATGAGAACTGGCTGCTCTTCCAGAGGACCTGGGTTCAGTGCCTGGTACCCACATGTTGGCTCACACCCATCCCTAACTGCAGTTCCAGAGGACCTGATGTGCTCTTCAGAGCACACTAGCACTGGGCACACACATGGTACACACACACACATCACACACACACATACACACACACACACACAGGCAACACACACATAAATAAACAAATATATATTTTAAAAGAGTTCAAGGTCCTCAGCTACACGGCTAAGCTGAAGTCAGCCTAAGCTACGGGGGCCATGCCTTGAAAATCAGACAAAACAAAAATCCAGTTACAGTGACTTACTTCTGAGGCAGGAGGACTGTCACTGTTTGAGGCAATACCTGGTTACCTAAGGAATACCAGGCTAGCTTGAGCTATAAAGCATAAACAAAGCGTGAGACCCAGGCTTAGCTCTCCATCCCTCTCCAAAAATAAATAAAATAAAATAATCCCAGAGGCCTCCATGAGTTTGAGGGCCAGCCTGGTTTGAAAAAAAAAAAAAAGTTTCAAACCAACCAGAGCCTGTCTGAAAATAAATAAATGAATGCATACATACACATACATAAAAACAATGCTGTGATCTTGGTGAACTTTTACACAGTTTGCATGATCAGTACCCACAACCGTCCCACAGTTATGCCCCTCTTCTTGCAGCCTGCTGAAGGAGTATGAATGTGGGTGTTGAGAGTTTGGGCTGGGGAGAGATGGAGGCTGTTTCAGAGGCTGATGGCACTCTGGACTCCAGATAATGAGACTCACGAAAGAAGCACAGATGCCGAAAAAAGCTGGGGTGCCAAGCAGGCAGGCCCAGGCTTCTCCAGGCAGACACTCTGGGGGTGGGCATGGTAAGAGCTCAGAGAGGAAAACTGGTCCTGTGTGGGTTCCTTGGAGTCGGAGGTGCCCCTCCCTAGAGAAATCTCTCCCTGGCTTTTGACTCCAGCCTGGCATGCAGACAGTGCATTCGGGCAGAGAGGTGAAAACAGATCTACATGTGGACACGAGGTTTTCAACGCGCCATTCATGGAAGCCCAGGATAGCCCCCAGCAGAAGAATCACCCTTTGTCTTCCTCCTGCCCCGACTGGGGACAGCTGGGACACGGGAAGGAGAATTTTAAGAAGGCTGGCAGCCACAAGCCAGTCTTTTCTGGTGAGGATACATGGTTTCCTGGGCCTTCCCCTGGCTCCCAGGCCACCCACTTCTAACGCTGCCCTTCCCCCAACCCAGGCCAGTTCACTCCCTTCCGTGAGAGACGAATGTCTTCCAAGGCCCCTGCCAGAAATCCTCAGCAGCCCCTATGGTCTGCCATGCTTCTAAGCCTAGGAGGCAGTGAGAAAGCCACTCCCCCATAACAGCATACAGGGACTTCAAATCCCACATTCCCTGACTCTTTATCATGTGTGTGCACCCGGAATCCAGCTTCGTCCCCACAGCCTTTAGCTGCAAACTGACCCCTAGAGTCTGTTCCTGTCCCATTCTCGTCGGACAGTAGGGGAGACTGCCTCATTCCTGTCCGGAACGGCCACGGCTTTTTTGTTGGTTTTTGAGAGAAGGTTTTCCGATTCCTTAGTAGTGAAAGGTGACCTTGAACTCTCCACCCTCCTGTTTCTGCCCCTGAATGTTAGGATTGTTGGCACATGCCACACTTCCGTCTGCCAGGGTTCTTTGAAATATCTGTTCTCTTGTTTTATGGGTGTGGGTGTTTTTCCTGCAGGTATATAGACACCATATACATACCTGGTGTCTGGGGAGACCAGGAGAGGACTACAGTCATTGATTGCTATGAATCGCCATGTGGGTGCTGGGCCTCAAACTCTGCAAGGGCAGGAAGTGCTCTTAACTATTGATTCGGGGTTCTTGAATGTTCCCAGGTTTCCTCTCAGCTCTGGTAGGGCAGGTGACTAGAAGCTTTGAAGGCTCTTTGTTCTTATTTGTGAAGTGGTCTCATATTCTTTCTCTTATACTTGTTGCCACATTAAACGGGCTAATATGTAATAAAAGGTTTCCCCGGTTCTGGCCTACTCTAATGTGCTAGCTATTGCTATGAAGGCCCCTACCTGTAGACCCTCCAAGACATGAGGCAGAGCTCATTCAATAGTTGTACATGGCACAGGGTGTTCAGGAAATGTTTGTTGAATGACTGAATGAAATTGTGGCTATGGAATCATGGAAGGAAGCAGTTAGAAGGGTCTCTGGAAGTGGTCGATGAGTTGGCTCAACAGGTAAAGGCGATTGCTGCCAAGTCTGATGACCTGAGTTCAATTCCAATGACCCATATGTTGGGAGGAGAGCACGCTCTTCTTGCAAGTTGCCCTGTGACTGTCATGTGTGTGCCTGCACACACATATACAAATAAGTGTAATATTAATAATTTTTTTGAAGAAGGGACTTTGTAGGTCTTCAAAGGAAAGTGTTATTACACACAGGGAGAACACACACACACACACACACACACACCAGTAAAACTGAAGGATTCATACCTGTGGGAATGTTCTGGGTTCTTTCTGTCTCTTCGGCTCCAGATAATCCAAGTTCCAATCACTGCCTCCGCCCTGGGGAGTTTAGGAAGGGGAAGGGCCCCCCAAACGCAGACCAACACAGACCTTTCTTCTTTTCTTTCCGTAGCTAGAAAGAAAGAAGAAGCAATGTCCCTGGCCATGGAGCTGCTGGTGGCCCCAGCCTGTCCCCACCTGACCTTCGGGGCAGAGAGAGGCAAAGAAGAGTGGAGGTGGTCTGCAGTGTGTGAGCGGGGCCCAGAGGAGGGGCAACGAGGAAGAGGAGGAGCTATGAGGCCGGTGGCCCCTCCTTCCTCTGCCAGCTCCCTCTTCCAGGCTCAGGTTGCAGAAAAGCCTGAATGGGTCCTCACCCCTGTGCAGGACAGCTGAACATCAGACACTGGTGATGGATGGAAAGGCAGCCTGGGCTACACTGTGAGATCAGCTACCTAGTGAGATCCTCTCCCAAATAAAGAAATGAAGAGAGAGGGAAGGAGTCAACACTCAGGGAGAGCTAGATGGCTCAGTGGGCAAAGATGTTAGCTGCACATGCCTGGCAAACTGAGGCCAATCCCTAGACTCCACATAAAAGAAGAAGCTGCGCGTGGTGGCGCACGCCTTGGGTCCCAGCAGCACTCTGGAGGCAGAGGCAGGTGGATCTTTGTGAGTTTGACGAGACCAGCCTGGTTTACAGGGCATCCAGGGCTACACAGAAAAGCCCTGTCTTACAAAAACAAAACAGAAAACAAATTACTAAGCATGTTAGAATAATTTATTTATTTTTTCTGTGTATGAGTATTTGCCTGCATATATACATGCCTACGCACCACATTTGTACCTGGTGCTTTTGGAGCCTCTGGGGGTCAGAAGAGGGTGTGGGCTCTCCTGAGACTGGGGTTACAGACAGCTGCCTTGTGGGTAAGAGCCTGAGTCCTCTGCAATGACAACAATTGATCTTA